CAGGGGCGCCGGGGGGTGTCGGGGGAGCAGGGGGCGGGCTGCGGGTTGTTCCTGTGCCGCGCGCCGGCCGAGGGCCAGCTGGAGCAGGCCGCCTGCGTGTTCCTGGCGCGCTCGCTTCCACTAGCCGCGTCGCTCCAGGGGCCCAACGAGGCCTCGCCGAGCGCCCGCTCCCGAGGCGGCTCTTCTGCGCTTGCAGCCCCCGCCTCCCACCTGGGAAGCTGCACCTCCAGTGGCCGCCGCCGCCGCCGGGACTGCAGCACGCCCTCCTCCCTTGGGGCTGCGCCGGGTAATTGCAAGCCGGGTCTGTGCTGCCCCCTGCCGGCCATAGCGCCCCCCGCTGCTGAAGGTGTGCTCACGTGTGTACACGTAGGTGAGCACACACGTGTTTCCGGCCCCCGGAGCCCTGGAGACGCCTGAGGGTCGCCCCTCGCAGGGTTAGGAAAACAAAGCTGCATGCCTTCCAGGAAGTCTGGCCCGGAGGGTAGACATGGAATAGCATGAAGTGATTGCTCTCAGTTTTGCCTTCTGGAAAAGGACGGGTGTGGACTAGGTAATCTTCAAGGTCTCTCTGCTCCTTCTTAAGTTCTGTCAGTTTTAGATCTCAGAACTGGAAAGACCATTCTAGACCGATTAACTCATTGCAAATAAGGAAAGAAACTGAGGTGGGGGGCGGTACTCCAACACACTGCAGTAAGGAACTCATGTCCAGCATTGAGGCAAAGGCCTGTATGAGTAGCCATAACTGAAAAAAAGGCTGTTAAAGGTTGAACAAATTACTGGGGAGCAGAGTAGAACTGAAGCCCCAAGAATTAGTATAGACACATTGAGCATGCTCCGGGCTGAGGGACTTGTTTAGAAGCAATGCCCCTCAGGTGTACAAGTTCAAAGTCTGCTTCAGGGAGAGGTGGGTTGTCTAGTGAGTGACGAATGTGAAGGAAGACGAGGCGGAAAGGAGGTGGAATCTCTTGGGAAGAACAACACTACTATTTATTGTGCTCTTAATTTTATGCCAGACACTGTGCTAAGTCCTTTACATTAATCATTTTACTTAATCCTCAGGACAACCCAGTCTGATAGGCATTCTTATCCCCACGGTACAGAGGAGGAAACTGAAGCTTAGAGAGCTTAAGAGACTTGTCCCGGATTCCACGGCTAATGCAGGCTGGTTTGCCTGGCTCCAAAGCTGTTGCTCCTAACTAGTAGCTCTACTGCCAGGCTGAGGCACGTGGTGTGATTGTCAAGCCAGTGAAGGTTTCTGATGAGGCCTGGACCAAGGCCGTGGCTGCAGTAAAAGACAGGAGAAGAAGGGAGCGATGAATTCAGGAGACATTCCAAAACTGACATTTATTGAGGATCAGGCACTCTCTTAGGAGATTTCATGGATATTTTAATTAACCCTCACCCCAACTCTTCCAGGTAGATCTATTTATCCCCATTGATTTAGGTGGAGAGTGGAGCTTCGGAAAGTAATATCCTTGCCCAAGGTCTCAGAGCTCCTGAGTGGCAGCAGCCAGTGCCCTTGCTTGTTGCCTAAGTGCTCCCTTTACAACCCCACAGGTGTCTACGTTGCCAACAGTGCACTCTGAGAAGGCGTCACCAGTCAGTTCTCAGATACCCATTCTGCTCCCCGCAACGAAACTAGATCTAATAGAATGCCACCAGCAAAATCTGTGTTCAAAGATAGCCCAATTCTGCTTACTGATTTCTAAAGTTAGCCCATTTCCTACTATAGCCTTACTGTATAGGCCAGGAGTGCTGTGATAGACTGAATAAGGGCCCCTCAAAGATGTCTGCATACTAATCCCCAGAACCTGTGAATATGTTCCCTTACATGGCAAAAGGGACTTTGCAGATGAGATTAAGTTAAGGATCTTGAGATGCTGAGATTATCCTGGGTTATCCAGGTGGGCACAATGTAATCACAAGGGTCCTTAGAAGAGGGAGGCAGGAAGATTAGAGAAGGTGATGTCCTGACAGAAGCAGAGGTCAGAGTGATGTGGCCGGGAGCCAAGGAATTATGGCAGCCGCTAGAAGCTGGAAAAGACAAGGAATGGTTTCTCCCTTGGAGCCTCCAGAAGGAATATAGCCTTTCATTTTAGCCCCATAAGACCCGTTTTGGACATCTGACCTCCAGAACCATAAAATAATAAATTTGTGTTGTTTTAAACTACTAATTTGGTGGCAATTTGTTCTAGCAGCAATAGGCAACTAATACAAGGGCAGTATTCAATAATATTAGTTTGTGCTTTACCGTTTTCAAAGCCCTCCCACCTCAGTGATCTTTGGCAGTGTCATAGTGCCGCCCTCCTCATAGCAAGCACCCTTCAGGTTTGTGGTTATCCACTATCATTCTCTCCCACTAGACTCGAAGCTTCATAACAGGACTTTTTCTTAATTATCACTATATACCCACTTAACACCTAGCCTGCTCTCTAATAAGTGGTAGACAGTCAATAAACGCTTGTTGAATGAATGTGGATCTTATTTCATCTTCATAAAGCCCTGAGGGATAGGTATCATCATGGAAAATGAAGATCGGAGTGGAGCCTGAAGTCAAACTCGTGTTTCTCGACTGCACATCTCACAGACTGCTGACAAAACCATGTCCCTCCAACTAACAGACTTTGTGGGGGTCATGAATTACCTGAGGATTCCAGATTGCTTTAGTTTTACCTATATCTCCCATGTGGCAGGCATTTTGCTGATCTTGGTCAATCCTTACCTCAATCCTGATCAAAGTACTACTCTCCATCACACAAAGGAGAAACCAAGGCTCAGGTCTTCCTCTGGTTAAATTTCATGTCACTCAAGTTTCAACTTTAGAATTTCAAGATTTGATAAGCAAATTTGCATTTTGTCTGCTCACAATGTTATGCATTTTGGTTATTGCTCTTTCTTAATCTTTGCCTTTCAGACCTGAAAGTCCCTATCCCTGCTATCTGGCTGCATAACCAGCCTTTCAAAGATTCTCAGTTTCCCTTTCTTGACCCTCCTCTATGTCGACTGTAAGTGGGCCAGAGCTTCATGTATATTCTGTTTATCAATGCGTCACTCTTATGTGTCTTTTGGTCCTCAAACTATCACTCAGAACCCCCACCTGCGTTTCTGTCTGGAGGAGACCTGCTGGCACAGTGATTAAGAGCTATGGCTGCTAACCAAAAGGTGGGCAGTTCGAATCTACCAGCTGCTCCTTGGAAACCCATGGGCAGTTCTACTCTGTTCTATAGGGTCACTATGAGTCAGAATCGACTCAATGGCAACGGGTTTGGTTTCTTTGTTTTTTTCTATCTAGAGCCATCTTGGGCTGAAGTTCTCAGGAAACAGTCTATACTAACTTCCAAGTACTTTTCTTGGTCATAAGCAGTAGTTCGACACGGTTAATTTCATATGCATCACTTAGAATTTGATCTCATTTGGAATTTTATCTCTAGAGTCCCCTTCTTGACTTCTGCTCATTAAAGCTCAGCTGTCACTTCTTTGCCCACCTTCTCAGGTTCATGAGAACTTTCCGTTGTCCTTCCCATCACTACTCAGGGAAGTTTTGTGTCATCAGCAAACCTTGGAGAGTTCTTATGCACACCCTTCCTCTAGAGTAGTTTTACATGTTAGTTAAACAGCCCTTAGCCCTGTCTCTAAGGAACTCCTCTTCAGAAGTGTGCCATTTATCCCTATCGTTTGTTTCCTGGCTCATTTCCCAGGCTCAGCAAAATTGTGCCCCCATTCCATCAGACTCCATTGTTTTTCCTCCATAGAACAAGATTACACTTTACGTATGTTCCTACTTACTCCCTTGTGAATTTATTCTTTCCGTAAGTGTTATTGAGAACTTACTATGTGCCACAAAGCCTTCCCAGCCCTCCCAAGTATTAAATAAATGTCAGCTTAATGTCTCTGCTATTGTTTCACAATAATAATGGCTATCATTAATTAAAGACTGCATAGTGGGCAGCTGTGGTTTCTGCCAGCCTAGCATCCATTTTCCTTTTTGGGGTTACAGCATTTGGGTCACTTTGGAGAACCAGTTCTCTCCTACTCACCTAGTGGCCTAGGTGAAGCTGATGCCACATCCTACCTCAGGTGTTAGCACATGGATCAGGCCTGGCCAATCAGAGCATTCCATTTCCCAGGCCACAGTTACTGGCTCAAGAATGGGCAGAAACCTATGCTGAAATTATTGAAAAGAGACAATTTCTTTCCATTGGGATTGGTGAACTGGCAGCTGGAATACTTGTTGGGAGTGCACTTTGACATGGCATGGAGAAAGCCTAAGGATGACATCAACACAAAAACAGAGCCAAGAGATGGAGAGACACAGATTTCTGATGACAATTTGATTTTGAGTAGCTGGATCCTGCTATGCCTGAATGTAGACCTACCCATTAGAATTTGCAGCCTAAGAAGAGAATCAGGATTAAAATGAGGGTTTTCCAGGTCCCAGTCCTTTCCTTGGCTCCACTTGTTCTCTTTCCTGAGCACAAGACATAAACATTGTTGAGAGTAGGCACTCATTTTGTTCATCCTTTAAGGGCATCATCTCCAGGCAAATAATTAGCAAAGCAATGCCCGTCACTGAATTGTACAGAAACAGATGGAAAGTTAATAAATCATCTAAGCT